TAACTCAGTTCTTTTAACATAATGTATATAATGTCTATATATGATCACAAATATATCCAATCTAAAGTGTTACATATACAAATACATCGTTATCATCATAGCTATATAGTTTATTTAGAACCGAAGCGTGTTTCACACTTCTTTCCATTCTTCTCTGTTTCTTGCCTTTACTTCACATTTGCTAGAATTCATCTTTATGAGATCTGTGCGCTTACAGTCACCCCATTTTTTACTATTAGTCCTTGTTCCATTCTTTATCCTCTTGTCATTTTCGATTCCATACCGTGGCTAGTATTTAACAATTATAACAAGTTTTTTTTTAACTGGGTTAGAGGATTAGTCTAAAGCCAAACGATATTCCTAGTCTCACTACAACAGATACTTGAGTTCACCATTACAGCACTTTGGTAATTTGCTTTATTGATGTCTTGGCACATTTCTCGCATTTTACACTGTCATAGTTATGGCGATATAATCACACAAAATCCCTCCCAGCATTTGCGCTTTCTCTTTTCTCATCCAATCTTCGCAATCGCGAAGTAGCATAAAAATACAAGTGCCATGTTATGGCACAAACGGTTCCAATAAAGTATATCTTAAGTATAGTGAAGTATATACATGAAGTACTCATGTCTATTTCAAGGAATTAGGTCACATATAAATCTAAAATTAACTCATGAGTTAGATGAATAATGCTTAACCTAATGATTAACTTTGAAATACATATTTAATAAATATATTTTGAGAACTATTTAAATTGATTTTTTAATGGTTATAAAAAGTTTTTTGTTGATGAAAAAAAATTTTAAAGAAGTGAATATAATCAGAGATTATAAATTTTTTATAATCTCTATAACTTAAATAAATAATTTATAAGCACAACTATAAAAAGACTTCAATTATATACCGTTTGTCACTATTTAAACAATAAAATAAAAAAAGTTAAATTTAAAACCTTCAACACATCTCAAATATTAAGTCGATCAATATCTTTTAATTCCAATCTTAAATATTTTAACATTTTGCCAATAAATTTATTAACTGAACGATATCCATAGGTGTCATTAGAGTTTACCGCACCCATTTTATACACGCGTTTTTTTCATTACCCCAGGTGTTTACATATTTGACTGTGTACTTTCAAGGTAAACTTGAGTTTTTTCTTCACGCAAAAAATTAATTTGATACATTTTCTATATTAAATGCAAGTCAAGATAAAAAAAAAATTCAGATAAAAATAATGAAAATTTCAGGACCACCCGAAGCTTTATTATGATTAAGTTAATGTAGACATATCAATTTATTAAATTAAATATTGTATTTAGAATTTTTTTAAATATTTTGATATACCATAGTGTCTGAAAGAAATTAAAAGAGATTATATTTCCAATTTTAAAATACTTTATAACTTTAAGCAATATTGAATCAAAAATATCATTTTTTCTATTTACTGTTAAAAAAATAAAGAATAGAAAGAAAAAACAATAGATTTTAGATATTGTGCATTTATTGCCACGCTACTAATTGGCCAGACAACTAATTGGCCAGACAACTAATTGGCCAAAGAACTAATTGGTATGATACAAACAGAAGACCTGATTAGACCTCCGTTGCAGTTTTTACGGATGACCAGTTGTTATTATGGTGCCTCAGCCTTAATATTTTGAATTGTTCTACTCTTCAGCTTATTGATGGATAATATACCTAGCTTCTACTTGAATGTTAGTAAACAACAGCTTCAGTGAACTCTGGTAGTAGCGACATTTTCAATGCTAAAAGGTATTTTTACTTCAGGTTTATGTTTCATGCTGAGAAGTTTTATTGCAACCCGGGAACTTAACAATTCAGACGGATGGTATGAGGTGTGTAGAGCCGTCACTGTTAATCGTATCAGTTTAGAATAATAAGTTTATGGAATTTTCTGATTATATCTTATTCTATCATACGTAAGAATAAATAAATTATTTATCGATTTAATTAAGATATTTTTTTTATCTTCTTGATCACAAATCTCAGCCTGCGTAATTAAGTAATTAAAATAAATAAAAACTGCAGTGCAACTTAAGATTCCAAAAGGAAAAACTTCACCTACTGTAAAAAGATTTTGGTGACTCAATAAAAAAATCAATAAAAAAAAAGAATTTTCAAATAAAATTAATTATATATACACGCCTTAAACGTGTTTATTTGACGATGCAATTAATACGAGATTTTGGCCACAATTGCAGTTTTCAATTTACGGTGACAAGTATAAACATTTCGTACGTAGGCAAAACATTCTTGTATTTTAAACTTGAATAATTTTAATTTTATTTACTAAAATTTACCACCTTGCCAGTTCATTTGTGAAAAATAATTAATTTCATTTTAATTACTGTTCCACTCATTTAGTTGATGTTAGTAATTATTACTCTATAGAATGAAGAAGTTGACACTCATAATTATTTAATTTATTATAATTAAAGATATTAAATTAAAATATTATATTAATTTATATATATAATATATATTTATACATAAAAATTGAATAAAATATATAACCATATATAATCAAACATAAAATATTTATATGTATATAGTATATATATGAAAACAAATTGATTTTTACTTGAAACCAAATAATTGTATTCTTTTTTATATATTTCATTTTGCATAAAATTTGTACTTGGGTTAGGTTAGGTTATACCGGCGATCCCAGAGGGATCCACTTAGGCCCACAGGCCCATTGTGCTACAATAAAAAATTTGTACTTATTTGTAATAATAATAATATTAAAATGTTATGTTTAAAAACAAAATCTACCATAATTAAAAATTAAATTCGAGGATTTTTATTTCTATAATATACTTGTACATATTCGTATATCAAATATCCTTAAACTTCGATTTTCAAAATAACCGAATATATAATTACCCAAAACTTCATTAATTTAATTATAAAAATATAACTTCTCATGTTAAATATTTTTAACATGAAAAATGTTTTGTGAAGCGTTAATTATGCGAAAATTAATTGCAAAACATTTTTAAGGATGCTAATACGTGATTTCCTGCCCTTTCAGTTTGTTCAATTAACCCATTTGGCAGACGAAGAAAAGCGAAATATAGGCTGGGATAAATTAAATCAAAATTCATGCAAAATCAATATGGCCTCTTTTTCATACTAATTTGGTAGAAAATTCATTAATGATTAAAAAAGTGAATTTAAATGAGAAAAAAAATATTGGAAACCTTAGAATTTTCTATTCATTTAACTTAATCATTGTGAAAACACACAGGGTAGTTACAAGGAAAATATATTTTTCTTAAATAAGATTTTAGTACAAAGAATTGCTTATACAAATATATAATTCAAATAAAAATTTTACTTTTAAGTTTGTGATTCTAAAGCATTTAGATATGATAGATACATGGACAGAAAGTTAATAGAGGTAACCGCTCCGAAAGGAGTAAAGCACCATAGTTAACCATAGCAAAACTTTTGTGCTATAATCAACTATAACTGAACAGAATACACACAGTCTTAGAAACAATCGTAATCATATCCACGACTGATGAGTTCATTAATATCAACTAGAGTCAAGTTCTTCCATTTCAGTAATTCCTCATATAATAAAACCATGAAACTAAAAGGGACCAAAACCATACTGTCAGGCTCATTGCAGTTCTTTCTGGTTGTTTGCTTATAAGAATCCCACGCATAGAAACTGTGCCTTCCATTCAACACTTATTATAAAAGTTGCGGAAACTTAAACGAAAAATAGACAATAGGTATACAAACATATAATAATTTTTCTGTGACTCAGTTTTGACTAACAGAGAAAGGAACAGACTTTTTGAAAAGTCTGTCAAGCTACTCATCAGTAAAATTTGTTTAACAACATAAACTCAACTGGATGGATCCAGTTGGATACAAGGGTATAGGGTTTTTTGCGACGAATATGGTATTAAAACGCCAAGTAAATGTTAATTCAAAAAATATTGCCATCCCGAAAATTTTTAATTCTTAGTGAAACTTAAACTGAATCTAAATAAAATATAAAATGAAGAAGAAAAATGAAGAAAATGTTTTTATGTAATTTAACGATTAATATTTTAGTACTTAAATATAAACAATCTTAATTGTTTAAATTATTTCTTAAAAGTTCAATCAATTCATTTATGGTATATCATATATAGCTTTTATATAGCCTGAGATATGGCTATTTGAAAATGTGTTTATAATGCCGATTTTTAAGATCCATATCTTCTAGAAAAAAAATACAAAATTTTTTCCGAGTTACGGATCTTCTTATTTTATAAAAAGAGCTCATAAAAAAAATTTTAGCCAAATCGAAGGTGATGAGGTCATTTTTTGCCAAAATCCCTCCGATTTGTAAAAGAATGACCCGACCCATACACCAAACAAAGATTTATTGTATAAAAGTTTTGCAAAATGAACTTAGACCCCAAATACGGTTCATGAAACGTGTTTATATCTATAAAGGCATCGAGATGGTGCATCTTCTACTCCATTGATGTTCAAAAAGACTAACTGATATCAGATAAATACTATATATACCCGCAAGCCTTATTTATCAATCAATATACTGTTTATCATTTTAGTTAAAAATTTGAAGAATCTCGAAAAATATAATGATTCGTTTAGTTAATGACGTTATTAAGATTCTTTTAACATTTTTTTGAGATTGCAACTATTATAATCAATATTATATTTATGGTATTATAAATCAATACCAATTTAATATATTATTTAATGTTTGCTTGCTAGTTAGTATATAATAAAAATATAATTCATTATACTTTATTTAGAGCTATAAAAAGTCTGATTTTTTTTAAAAATAGAATGGAGTTTATTACTGTAATAATTATAAATAATATCTATAATAGAAATCTTTAAAAATATAGTAATTGCAACAAAATTTTAGTCGGTGTCCTCGGTTTTTAAAATATTCTTTAACTATTTATATTTTTATATTATAAGCTCCAAAATATCTCAGATTTATTTTAAGAGTCTTTTTTATTTAGTGGTACAATACAGCTTAAACGATAATGCAACAATAGCCAATATGCCTAGAAGTTTATCTAATATGGTGATTAATGTATTCATTAGAAACAAAGCGAATACTGAACATATATTACCTGCAACATGGAGTACTTGTTCCGGTTTACGAAAAAGCTAGAAAACTTCAGGTTGGAATATAGGCTGGAATATAGGTTTCTTTATATTAATTGCTCTGTCTTGTTCTAAGGACATCAAAACTATCTTAAAGCATTCTGTATATAATGTGGAAATGTTTGTTTTAGTTCGTCATCCAAAAATCACCAGTAAAGTTCCATTTGACATAAATAAATATCGTAAAATCTTGTAAAATTATTTTGAGTACACATCTGATCAATTGTAACAAGAGTACAAGTCCTTCGACATTAAGAACTTTTATCTAAATTTCATTAATTGAACTTTCATGAAACTTTTCCGCTATTCAGCAATATATATAATCTAAAAACATTTTGTTATGAAATGATTGGAAAAGTGAAATTATTTATACTTTGAGTACTATGGCCCAACTTTTACTAAAAACGTTTCCGCTATTTACCAGTACTCTAAACTGAACATGCCTTGCTCTGGGATGATGTCACTTACAATGAATACGATTCTGGAAGTTCTTCTATATATACGATAACAATCTACCTTAAAAAAATATTTGTTCGAAATAGAAGTGTTAATTCGGATTAGTAATTTTTTTACCTTTAACAAATATTGTCCAATAAAATGTTTCATTATCAAATCACTTATACATCATTTCTTAAGTTGTTTTTATTCATCATTGCACATCCTTTTTTATTGCCACATTATTTCTTTATGTATAGTTTGTGCAATTGATTTAAATTTTTTTTTTATTGTATAAAATTAAAAGAAATTTTATACAAATTATACAAGAAGTATTCTCATTGTCATAATACTGTGTAGCGAAAGTGCTGCGCTCTCGCCATCAGGATTAGTTGAAAGAACGTAGTAAATTGGAAAATATCCGTACTGACAGATCTTATAACTTCTATCTTGTATAGCATTTTCTTGTTGTAAACTTTTAATATGACCTATTACATCAGATAATTGATTCTCATTGAGATTTGCGAAAATAAACAATAAATCAAAATTCATAACTTCCTTGTAATACGGAATTAGACCGATGACAAACGCCATACTAGCAATTATGGAACCAATTTTTGTGGGTATTTGAGTCTCTATTGGATAGAAAATCGTACTGTTTCCAAGAGAAAGCGAAGTGTTTATTATTTCCGTAGTATTTACCGAATCTTCCAGACACATTAAGCAAAAAAGGTTTGTAATAAAATTTGCAACAATAAGTGTTATACATAAGTCAGCAACATACACATATATAATCGCTGGTACATCCCTGCCAGCGAAATCTCTTTCAGGCATGCTACCAGCAGAAATCTGATACAAAATTCCAAGTATTCCTATTGTAAACATAGAAACTGCTAGAATTGTGATGAAACCACTTTTAGCGATGACTGGTAACTGCAAAAATGAATATACCAAAACGCCAGACACCATTAGAATATCAATATAGTTCTTCTCCACAATTTTCAAAATTTTGCCAAGCATTTTGAAAGCTCTTTTGGTCAGAAGTTTGTAACGAATTTGTTTATTAGTAAAAAATTTTGAAACTATAGTTCAATAGTAAAACATTTTTATATGACATGAAAATGTTCAAATTTTTTTAAATTTATTTTTATTGACTTTATTTTCTAATGCTGTCGATTTTATTTTTTATAAAAAATATATATTCAATATATGTATGAACTTTTATAATTCAGTCCGAATAGAAATTCATCTGGAAAATTCTACGTAGTAGAGGTATGCACCAAATGTGTAATAGATTCATGTACTTGATACTATATAAAGGCGGATTTTAACGTAAATGAAGATGTGTATGCCACTATGAACAATCTATAGAGACAGTTCCATGTCAAATATGAAGTTATATACAAATATATACAACAGTAGCAAAGAGATTAAGATTCAAGAGAGTCATAAAGGTCCTATAAGCTATTAGAAGTTATTAACAAAAAAGAATAAAAAAATATAATTTTAAGCCAATTGTATAATTCACATTTAAGTTGTGTATTTACAGGGTAAAAATAGGTTAAAATAAAAATTATTACTGAAAGTATAATAACACTAGAGAATCATATGAGTTATTGTTTAAAATTAAGAAAGATCTTTTGTTCTTCATATCGTAAGATATATTCATCTGCCAATATATCTTAGTTTAGTCTTTGTTGTTGGAGACTTAAAATATCTTTATAAAGACATATATACCTTCTGCTCAAAAAGTACTACATAAATTCAACCGGATTTTGTAAATAAAACACACAAATTTAAATTTTATTCCAAATTTATTTTATCTCCTTCAAAATATGCTCCATCTGAAGCGATACACATATGCCAACGCTTAACCCAATCTTTCATACACTTTTCGTAGACCCGTTAAGGTATGGCTTTTAGTTCATTCAGCGAATTCTCTTTTACCGATTCAATCGACTCAAAACGCTTGCCACGAAGGAGCAATTTGAGTTTCGGGAACAGGAAAAAGTCGCACGGATCCAGATCTGGCGAATATGATGCCTGAGCGATGACAGTGGTGCAGTGTTTGGTCAAAAAATCGCGTACAACAAGAATTGTCCATAGTAAAAATCGCTAAATGTGCTTATGGTAATCTTACATTAACAGCTGCTGTAAATATGTCACGAAAGGGTGTACCAAGATAACAAAAAATTTTTGAAAAAGGTCTATTACTTAAGGAGTAGTTAACAAACAACAAAATCCTTTTTGAGCAGAAGGTATATAAGTTAACAGCCGCGTCTCAAATTCGGCCCCAACACTTAATTTCGTCAACGGCATAACCATGCGATGTTATACGATCGCCGGATTACTGCCAAACGGAACATCAACTTGTTTGTCTGGAAAAGTTCCGTTTGGTCTGCGTAGCTCTCAACTTGGTGTGTTGAGGTGACTACACGTAACCAAAAAACTGAGTTTTATTATAAAAAAATAATTAATTTATATATATATAAATGTCTGTAAATGTCAATTTATTTACAAATCACCACTTAGTTAGGCATTAATAAACTAACCCTTAGTGCTCTTGATAATAATTTTGAAAAACTATTAATTTTAGTTATTTTTTTAGCCAAAACGTTGCTTAAACATTCCAGTACATTACTACACATACAATACTAAAAAATTATGTATAAATTACATTACTTTGATAAACATAGTAAAGTAATTGGTGAAACCAATTAGAACTATAATCACTCCTCCTATTTTGTTGATGATAACATTGTGTATGAATGAATTTTTGTTTTCCACTTCAACGCACCTTTAGCCAAAAACAAAAACAAGTAAATACTCAAATTTCAATTGATAGACCCAAACTCCTCGATACACTGACACTCTCCAATAAACCCACAAGCGAAGCACTTAAGCGTACGTGATCTCATGTCTGAATTATCTATAGCAATTTCGGCTACTCGTACTTGTCGAAAGCTCATTGGGAAATATTGTCATGGCTAGAAACTCTTAGTACATAATTTATGAATCGATTTCGCCATTAATTTCTGGTTCGATTCATTTTTGATCTCTAATACACAATATGCACTCATGTATATACGCCATAAAACACGAGCGAACAGAGGCGCACCGGGTTTGGGGATGAGTAAGATTTCTCCTTAATAAATTTTATGAGATTTCTTATTCAATCTGAATTGGTGTGTTGTTTACAATGTTGCTGTTACGTTGTTTCTATTAGTATTGACATTGAATGGATTCACCACCTGGTTTGGGAGGTATCAGTAAATCATATAAATATGCGTTAAGCGTCTGGCATGTTTTCCTTTGTGGTTGCCACAGGTGTTTTGCTCTACTCTATGTGTGGTGGCAAGTAGAAATTATCAGAAACAAAACATGTTAGATTTTCATAGAATGTTTTTATTGAAAAAGCAATTTTGTTAAAAATTCTGTTTTTATTTACGTTTGCGTATATGTCATGGAAAATTATTATTTATACACTTCACTGAACGCACAATATCAAAATGATGAGATATTTAATGTTACTTATACGCTGTGTATGCTGAATTTGAATTTATGACAACTGAATGGCTTAAGTCTTCTTCTTAGGTAAGGACTTAAGCAACAGCTTATTTTGATAAGTTTATGTGTTTAATATTTTAATGTTTGCAATAAAAATATATTTTATGGGAAGAAATCGTACGAATAATACATATTATAAGTTTTTGGTGTAAAAATCATAAAGAGTATTAAATAAATTGCTTTGTTATTATATTATTTATTGTTATTATATGTTCCAACATATACATACAATACATACAGTACATACAATTACAAACCGGTCACATATCTAAGAACTTTGTGTTTCTACAAAAAGTTCGCAATTGTCTTTATTCCGTGTGATGTATCTGAGCTCGTTAAACGATTTGGATATTTCGGTGAGTATTGTTCACCTCCATATTATCTTTGAACGTTGTCTTCTTCTTGATCCAGCAGGATTCCATTATAAGGCTGATAAAGCTTTCTCTTTCTAATATAATTTAGTATACCAATTTGTTTAGTTATCTCGAAAAACATGGCGTTAGTGATTGTACTTAGCTAAAAAATACATGAAATGCATCACTAATACCTTAATTCAGATTGTTAAGAAGTTTGAATACCTCTATGTTGTGTTCATGCTCAAGTACATCGTAATACTTCACGTCCGTTAAGGCACCCAATGTACTACCATCAGACATATTAATCTAAAAAAAGTCATTCAAAGGCATAATAAATTTAACTATAAACTCATGCATCTGCTTTTCATTGATGATTTGTTAATCAGTTCCGTTTAAAGTGAAAAATTTTCTTCATTTATATGTGCAAAGGTCTCATAATTAATATAAACTTATCGACAAGCTTTTCTATAATTCCGTAGCTTATGCTTAAACTAAAAAGAATAAAATCCTCATCCGGCTGGGCTCTAACCGTCGAGAATCATTTTAGCTATAGGGCCAAAGTCCTGCCCAATATCTGTCATTTTATTTCAATCAAGTTCAATTCGTTGCTGCTATCATATTAATCTGCGAACGTGGTCTTCACAGACCTAATCATAGAGTTTATGCATGATAACCTTTTACTGATATTTATTCCTCCTATATTTATTCACTTCCTTCATAATTTCAACTTTCTTCCGTCACTATTCTATTCAATATTCTTGCGGTTTGGGTTAAAAAAATTTAGATTTCTAAATATAAATTATCAGCTCCTTTTTCCTTTAATAATGAAAATGATAAATTTAGATTTTTTAGATAGATCCTTTTTCGTTTAGTTATTAAAATGAGGATCTCAGTATTCGGATTTTTCTAGCTCCATGACTGGGCATGAAGATTTCTTTCATTTTTAACAGGTAGTTTTAATGATTTTAATGCTCTCTAGTAACGGAAATAAAAATTATTTACACATATTTTCTTCGACATTATTAATCAATGACTTAATAACTTTAGTAAATGATTTTAGGAACTGATACTTTTTATTCTAATGTTTTGTATTAAATAAATAAATGAAAAAAGTATTTGAAAATTTGTCTATGTTTTTCTGGTATAGTATAACTGTATCAAGAATGATGTTTAGTACTTCATTATTTAGCTCGGGAACAATTTAAATTCAGACCTCACAGACAACCAACCTCACAGATGAAAATAATTGCATCAGGAAAAAGTCCTGAATGCAATCTACTTTAATAGACGATATTAAAGTAGATACAGTAAATACTACGAAACACCAAAAATCATCCCAAAAATCATCCCAAAAATATAAGCTATGGTTTAAGAAGATCTTCAGTTGACCAAAATATATTTCAATTTTTTTTTTACTTTTTCTGAATTAAAATCAATTTATCTCTGAGTTTTTTATCTAAAAATTGATGTAATTTTTATTTAATTTTTTTTTACAATATATCATTTGGTCTAAGAAATTTATACAGTTCGTTTCACATTAAATACGAAGTACAAATTTATATTTTTAAGATTAAAACACAAACGAGTATAATTATTTATGCGTACTTGAAAGTGAAAATTTTCAAACTATGACTTGTAAACAGTACATGGACTATCTGCTAATAGGCCTGGTAGAAATATGTCATTTTTTCGAAACAGTATTTTCTCCAGAAAACTGTGCCCACTACGTGCCTCTGGTATATTCAACCGCTTTTGTGATGGGAGTTCAATTGATTTGTAATCGTGTTCTTGGTATTTGGCTCAGTAGATGTTCTAATTCTAAGTTTGGAGCACTAATAGTTTTTCTAATAAAACTCTGGATCGGTTTTTTTGTGTCCGAATGCACTTTTGCTGTACTTTGTTCTTATTGTACTAACGAATTTATTTTTATTCCCACAACTGATGTACAAAAATATCCTACACTTTTTGGATCTTTGTTGATTTGTGTGGTATTCATGTGCGGAATATATGCCACTAAACCTATCAAAGAAAAAATTATCGAAAGTGTGAAATGTTTCATCAATTTCATAAAACATCAGAACACAGATCCTCACAATTTAAGTGCAATCCAGTCCATTTTTATTCGTTCAGTGAAATCTCTACATCGTATGTGTACGCGTTCGGATGATAATCGAAGTGATGACCCAAGTCATTCAGAGACAGATGATTCTGAAATAGGTATGTAGAAAATATGTATAGTTTTTATAATTTTAAAAAAAAAATTTTATGTATTTTATTTTAAGATGAATTGATGACTGAATAATCGAAAGTGTTGAAGTATTTTTTTTCGATACGAAGCTAAATCGAAATCATTAATAAATTTTAATTTTTTTTTATTTTAAAGAATTAGAAAGCAATATTTATTGATAGTAATATTCATTTATATAAAAATCTTCTTTTGTTTTATATATTTGTATATATTTAGTTATATACAAAATCATTTTACACTTTAAATAAAAAAATATGAATGCATATATTATGCTATTTAAAAAAAATTCGACGGTAGTCTAATATTTGATAATTCATAAGAACTTAGCTATTAAAATAGACCCTCGATTGTAAGAATTCGAAATAACTGACCCTTTAAATAACTCACGATCAAATAATTGATAATCGTACAGATTGTCTACTGTATTACATTTTATCTGTCAATTTATTTTTTGTATACAATTGATTTGAAGTTAAGGTGTCAGTGTTTTTTATTGGTAATGGAAAATTTGACTGTACTTTTATTATTTCTAAAAAATTTTTGATGGTATTAAAAGTGCATACCTAAAAAGGTAGCTCATCCTATTCCTTCAAAAACAGAAGGCATGCATCAGATCTCGCAAAAATGGAGGGCATTGTTCTACAAGATCATTGCAGAAGATCCGGTTAAGTGACGTTCAAAATTTGTAACCACATCAGATCGTTGCTAAAATAGAAAATATTGTTTTACAATATCTTCAATAAACTATTGATATAGATGATTGTAGAAGGCTTAAACATAAGATACACTGAGGAATATTATATATTAAGATTTTCTGAAATTGTCTATTTAAGTGTCCAAACCTCCAGTTATCTGCTAACTGGAGTTTAGTCTCTATCATGGGTCCATAGTACTTACATTGCTATCGACCCATGCCCACTGTGTATTGCCTAATGACATGATTTGTCACCAGAGAAGTGCCAAAACAAAAAGTTATATACTTAGCCCTATAGACTATAATCCATCCGGTGGCATACTTAACCCCCATCCGCAAACTGATAAAAATAATTAAATGGAAGTGCGAAAATAACAAAAATAAAAAAATAAAAATAAAAATTAAAATTCAGATAACTATAATTGTAACTAAAAGCTAAAAATACAGATCTCTCCGTATATCTCTGTTTTTTAGCGAAAGGCTATAATATAGATATGGGTAAGTGTTTATGGAGCCATGACAGTGACAAAACTACAATTTGCATATAACTGAAGGTTTAGGCACACAAATTGACAAATTCTGGCAAATGGGTATCGTGTTCGAAACCGTTTTTGTCAGCAACATCTGGAGTGTTTAAGAAAAGAATAAGAGTTCTGTAGTGATGGGTTCATTACTATAAATAAGATTAAGGTTTACTACCATGATACTGAACTACATTTAAAGTGTGGTAAGGTAATGCTGTCTTTAAGGATAAAAGTGGAAATTAATTAGGAACATTAAGTTTTTATTTTTTATTCCATATCTATAATCTCATAAAAAACTTGAATCTTAAGTGCTTTAATCTTTTTTTGTGTTTCAATTTTTTTAAAATTTTATATAAACTTTTCCAATATATTCACCTAGGAAAAGTTAACCGCTGCCAATTTACACTCCCGTTAGAATATTTTACGACTGAACAATTTTGTTGTTGTTGTTGTTGTTGTTGTTGTAAAAAAAATCTAATAAAATTGTTAAACTGACTCAAAGTAGCAGAAAATGGTTTGTAAATAATGTTTTAAATTTTTTATTCAAAGAAAAATGTTTCTCTTAAGGATTTCCCAGAGTTTTAAATTATCGTTTCTCACAATGCATTGAATTATTTACTGCAGGCGTTCAAATTCAGCGAAGCATTAAGGGTAAATGTAATTTATATTAGTCCTTTTCACGCAACGACGTGCAAAATTGAAAGAAGAAAAAAACATTTTTTATATAATAAGATATATATATATAAATATATTTTAAAATATATTAAAGTAATTTTTTTTTTATTTGAAATTGTTTTCTTAAATAATACTATTTTTTGTGTTATTATTTGATCCCTGAAAGTTTTATTTTTAAAATTTTAAACAAAATACTTCAAATGTCCTTTGTATTATTTGATTTATTTTTAATTTAAATTTTTGCATATACATCATTCTAGCACAATATTATTTTTTTTTTTTGAAATCATAATTTTTCATTGAAATGTCACTTTTACGTATCGAAAGAAATTTTGCCTTAAATAGAATCAAAATATTGTATTTCGCGTTAAAAAAAGCCTCATAAATGTTACTATCCAGACTGGACAAAAATATGGAAATATCCATTTTCAATTACAGTTTTCTATGGAAATTCATGTTTTGTTTTGAATTTTATTACTGTGATATATCACTAAGCCAAACAATATTCATTTTATTGAAAAAGTTCATTTTTTGCTCAAAATGAAATTTTAATTTAAAGCTAAAACCTCGGAATTATATGTACAATAAATTTTTTTGTAATATTTCATATTAAAAAATTAATTGTAAGCCATTTAGGATGTTTTTGTAGTTTGCACATTAAATTAAATTAACAATAAATACATCAAAAATTTTATTACGAACAATTTATATCAATTATTAAATTTTTTTGTAGTAATATTTATTATAGTCTTCCATTTTTTATTACATTTTATTACCAAATTTTTCCAGGACCCGAGTTCGAATCCTGGTACTTGCAATTTCCAAAAAAAAAAATAATTATTTACGAATAATTAAATACAAGAATTATTTCCAAGACCACTGATGATGGGTATTTGACTATACTCGAAACAGCCAAAAATTGATCAGCCAAAAATTCAATTAATTAAAAGTTCACTACTGTTCGAAAAAACCTCTTTATAAATTTTTCCTTGTCATGATATTTTAACTTTGTCATGACAGTTTCTTATTAGACAGGATCTACCCGACTGCATTTATGGTGACGGACACTGTGAATACGCAGAGCACAGCTTCCTTTACTGTAATAACATAGGTGGCTCACATTTCAAGAAGAGATAATATCCCAAATTTGACCAATAAATGCCGAAAATATAGTGGAAAAAATGAGAGCGAACCCAGAGAACTGGCGAACGATATAGTCGTGTGTTATTTAAGTCCTCAAAGCGAAGAAATTAAACCTAGAAAGAAGAATCAGAAACTAGGGTAATGAAGAATGCAGATGCTAAGAAAAAGTGATGAAAAAGTGAAGATTTGGGTACAGATCAAAAACCACAAGAGCGTAGTTTAAAATGCAATTTTAAAAAAATTCCTCCTCAAAGTAATGCGAAAATGGTTACGAGTGGGAATAACTTTCGTCGAAGAGTGAGTGTTTTAGTCTGTATACCACAGTATACTATTGTTGTTGTATACGACACAACAACAACAAAAGATAATAGGACATTATAAGAATATGTTGAACTTCGTTATGTCCCAAAGGATCTAAAAATCTCTAATTATCAAAAATTATTAGAGTGTAGTAACTCCCAAGGTAAATTCTACTCTACGGCATATAACGTTTTTCTGCAACAACAAAATAAAGTCCATTTACACAGGCTTTCCCAAATCTGAAATTGCTTTTACTTTACTCGTTGAATACTTTTAGTTAATTGGAATAGTATATAAAGAACCAGAAGTGGCACGGAATGGAAACAGATGAATACGATGGATGATAGATAATGATTGTGTTTTTTTTAGTTAAGATTTTACTTAGCATGATGACTTTATACGATAGTACATTGTCATGCAACGAAAGCTAACTGCTTGGTTAGCTGGCAGGTGGATATTTAGGTGAAACTCGTAGAAATTTGCTCCACAAGCGATGTAGTACTTTCAGATTATATTCTGCAACTGAACTAATGGTATGAAGTCTCAGTACAAATTATATTCTGCTTCTAAACTAATGGTATGAACTCACTGTGAGCAGAGAATGTGTCATTGACAAAAAAGGCTAGCATTATTATAGTTTTACTCTTTTAAAACATATTTCCTTTTCTTTCAACTTTTCTGATGACTTCCCTGTCGCACTCTTATTTTCAGTCTTTTATTGAAAAGACTATGTTTCATCACGTTATAATGGCTTACATGCTTAGCGCACATTTTTAACAAATTTTTAACATAGTTGTAATAATAAACTCCCAGTCTTTATGATAGTCTATCAGAATGTATGATAAATAGTGTACATAAATGTACTCGTTTTGCTCGAATCTTTAGGGAAAATCTGCTGTGCTTCTCGATATCCCATAAGTCATTTGGATAGCACAAAGGAATTTTTTCAAAGAAAGTTTTTTTCTTCAATGTTCAAATTTCCTATCTTCAATTATTAAATATTGGGTATATTCATACTTTTCAGTCTCCTTTAAAATTTCCAACTGCTGCTTGCATATTTAGATATCATTTAGCATATGAAAAAGATACAATGTGCCATAACGAATGATGGATTATATGCATTTTCCAAAATATAAGTCAATTATTGTCTATACTCGTACTTTGGTTAAAGCAGTTTATTGTCACAAAATATTCTGTCTGATTGCAGCCACAAAAGGTGCAATTTTTTTGAAAACAATGACTACAAATGCGTTATAAATAATGCAAGCCTTAAATTGGTTTGGAAATGAAAATCCATTTGAGCGCATAATTTGCTCTTGTTCCACTCGATAAACTGCAATTTCAAATTGCAAATGCATTACATCTGGGCTTGAGGCGTGTGGTGGTACATTTCTAAAGCGTGCCACTTTACATTGAATGGGCTCAGTCGATGGACATATTCAACTCAACGCACATGGTCAACCGGTTTGCCTTCTCTTTTGCCAAGTTATTCAATGCACGCATGTTTTTCGTTTCGGTATACAATAAGCCTTACTTTATAAAGATTGAATAGTTCCAGCGGATTGTCTGCTCCACTTTTAGGCACAAAGCATAATTGCATCAAATGCCGAAACTGATGATGTTGGACAAGCCCAGATTTGATCACACAATTGAACGTTGTTTGATGTTAACAGAATAAAAACGCTTGAGGTTCATTTTGTATTTTGGATTTTGGATTTTGGAAAACCATTGCCATTAGAGATCAAACGAATTC